ATTAGCCCCATTAAGTACTTCTTTTTCTGCTTCTAATTGCATCCCTTGGCTAAAGTCAGCGACGAAATCAGCTAATATCTGTGATTTTATTGCTGTTCTAGGTAAGTACGTGATTTCATATTCACTTAGCTCTATGGCCCATTTAGCTAACCTCCCTGACAATTCATGTTTATGCAATATATTACGTAGGGGTTATGCAGTCACCACAACAATGGGATGACATTGAAAGTAAGGCCTTAACTTCCTAGATGCCATGATTAGAGAAAGTGCTAATTTCTCCAATTGTGGATACCGTATCTCTGCATCTAACAAAGATTTACTAACATAATAGATAGGAGATTGTTTACCCTGCTCTCTCGTACCAAAACCGCGCTTACCGCAACTTCTGAAACAACAAGGTAGATGAAAAGTTTCTCCCCAGCCTTGGGTTTTGCTAGCAAAGGTGGATTTGACAAGTATGTTTTAAAATCCCTAAGTGCTTGTTGACACTCCTATCCCATTCAAAATGATCCTGCTTCTTAAGAGCCGAGAAGAATTTAAAACATTTTTTCGATGATTTAGAAATGAACCTTCCCAAAGCTGCGATTCTTCCTGTTAGTCTTTGAACCTCTTTCTTGTTGGAAAGTATATCTGGAATTTCTTCAATGGCCTTAATCTGTGCAGGATTCACTTCAATACCACGGTTAGAAACAAGAAAACCTAAAAATTTTCCTGATGCCACACCAAATGCACATTTTTCTGATTCAACTTCATATTATATTTTCGTAAAATTTTAAACGTATCAGATAAGTGCGATATATGATCTTCTGAATGATGTGTTTTAACTAGCATATCATCTATATATACTTTCATGGTTTTACCTAAATGTTCTTGAAACATTTGGGTGACTAACCTTTGATACGTTGCACCTGCATTCTTAAGACCGAAGGGCATTACCTTGTAACAATAAGTCCCCCTGTCTGTTATAAAAGAAGTTTTTTCTTCATCACCCGGATCCATCTTGATTTGATTATAGCCTGAATATGCATCTAAAAAACTTAATAGCTCATGCCCTGCAGTAGCATCAATTAACTGATCTATGTGGGGTAAAGGAAAGGAATCTTTTGGACAGGCTTTATTAAGGTCTGTGTAATCTACACAGACTCGCCACTTACCGTTCTTCTTAGGAACCACAACAGTTAGCTAACCAGTTACGATATTTTACCTCACGAATTGAACCAATTTTTAGCAACTTTTGAACTTCCTCTTGAATCACCTTATTTTTGAAAGTTCCTTGCTTTCTTTTCTTTTGCTTGACGGGAGGATATGATGGATCTTCATTCAACTTATGAGTCATGACTTCCGGTGGTATCCCTGTCATGTCAGAATGGGACCAAGCAAAACAGTTCGCATTAGCTTTTAAAAATTCAATCAATTTACGTTTTACCTCCGGGCTAAGATTAGCTCCTATGTACACTTTTCTCTCGGGCCAATGTATAAATAACACCACGGCCTCTAGCTCTTCTATCGTTGTTTTGATGTTCTCATTCTCCTCCGGTTCTTGAATGGTATCAGGTCTTGAATCCAGATCTGTTTGCTTTTGCTCAGGTGAGGTTGTTTCCATGTTACCCTCACCTAAATTCTGTAATTGCTATTTGTCTTCACCTTTAACAGTTGAATCTGCAACGGAATTGATGCTTCTAGATGTTGTTGATCGCCTCTGATTTGGCATATTCCCCATGGAGATGGGAATTTAATAACTTGATGTAAAGTTGGAGGAACAGCTTCCATGTCATGAAT